ACAAAGTTGAAATTAATAATTATTTTATTGGTTTTTCTCCAATGCCGAAAAGTGCAGGGTTTGATTTATCAGAAGAATTATGTAACAACTTAAAACTCTAAATATTTCTTTGAACGATTGCTGAGGTCAATGCTAATGACAATAATGCTAATGACAATAAGGCTAACATGGTAGGCAAGAGAAAAGACGTGCAAGGATTTTGGGGAAAAATCCGACAGCATTTTTTGTGTCACGTTCAGCGCACAATTTAAATTTATTAATAGATGATATGGTTTCCTCGGTTTCTATGACTATGATAGTTTTTGGAACACTTTCAAGACTGCATACACTATTTTCCACGTCTGCTCACAGATGGGCTATTTTAACGAAACATTTAACAAATTCAACTCTAAAACCATTATCAGATACACGTTGGGAATGCCGAATAAATTCTGTGAAGACAGTTAGATTTGATTTGGACAAAATTATAACGGCATTAGAAGAATTAAATGACGTGACGGAGGATTCTAATGTAAAAAGATTCTTTGAGAAATATGCACGACTCTTCCAAATCTGGCCATCAGTTCAAGAATATTATTAACAATTCCGATTTCAACAGCATCAGCAGAACGAAGTTTTTCTAAATTAAAACTAATTAAAAATTATTTACGGACAACGATTAACAAATCTGACACTTTTATGTATTGAGCACAAAACATATAAAAAATTAAATTGCGATGATTTAATGAAAGATTTTGCTGAAATAAATACCCGCAAAATTAATATTTCATAAAATAGTTGGAAAGGTTCATTAAAAAAATTAAGATAAAAATAAAATAAATAAAAACGAACATACTTTGTACAATCTTAAAAATATATTTCTTTTTACACTTTTTGTTTTATATTTCCGCAATTTTGTTTAAATAAATTTTCGAAAAGTTAGCGTTAATTATTTTACTTATTAATTAATTTTTTTTATTAATACTTACAGTAGGCCCCATATAACGCGGGTTCCTATAACGGAGATTCCTATAACGTGGCGAAAAAATTGCGACAGTATTCGTATAAAGACGCTAAAAGGGACTCGTAAAACGTCGTCGCCGACTCGTGTCGCAACAGGATTGGTCAAATCTGGACCACTAGTGGACGAGCAGCCGAACTACTTTCCGCCGTCCAGCGCCACGCTAAGGAGAGTTTGAGCGGGAAAGTTGAGTTTACTATCGTCTGTACAGTATTATATATAAATTAGGTACTGTACATATAATTATATATTAATTATATATAAATTAGGTACTGTATATATAATTATATATTAACTTAATTTATTGTAACTTTATTATAATTATATATATACTTTCTGCCGTCTAGCGCCACGCTACGGAGAGTTTTGGCGAGTAAGTTGAGTTTACTATCGTCTGTACAGTATGTAAATTAGGTACCGTAAGTCTAATACAGCACTAATTTTATACATTTCTTGTGAAAGAAACATTTCTTATTTAACGGCCATAAAAATTATTTATATTAATGATGTCTCCAAAGTTCAGCAAATTTTTCGCAGAAAAATAACTTATCAGAAATCGCGGCCGCCGTTTGGTGAGCTGCTCCGCGACGAAAACAAGCTTAAGCAATGGCGACGTCGAACGGTGCACACCCGGTAAGTAATCCTACAATTTTTTGTTTAAAGCATAGTTTATACGGATTATTCCCAAAAAAATTATACGTGTTTTGGAAATGTTGAGTCGAATTAGTCTAGAATTGATTAATTTAATGGAAGAAAACCTTTCAAACAGCCGTAGTCCGTAAACTGCCTACGTGCAGTTTACGGACGTAGGCAGTTTACGATTGGGCTGCGATTGGCTCATGTATTTAAGGATTCCTACAACGTGAAATTCGTATAACTTGGAACGTATCTACGCGTTATAGGGGGTCTACTGTAGTTTATTTTTAGAAAGGGTCACGCAATTTCAGATTTGCTCAGGGGCACGCAAAACCAAGGGGCGGCCCTGCTCCCGGCTTCTCACTTTACCACTGATTCAATAGAAAGAGGGAAGTGTTGCTGAACGAGGGGTAAAGTAATTCGACTAAAAGTAGTCGTTGACCTCCTCCCTGAAAAGAGGATGCTCAACGACTATTAATTAATACTGGTCTATATTAAAATTTAAAAAGTGATCTATGTCATGGAAGTTTTTAACTTTCTAACCTTCATATGTGAGGATCAGAAATTTCGTGCTATAAACTTTAATCTTTTATAAAATTTAATTAAACTTTAAATGCAACTCCCTAAAGACAGAACGAGTTATTAAAAAATTAAAAGAGAAAAGGGAAAAATAAAATCGATAAAAATCTGGTTAAACCTCGATTCCGACGAGTTGGGTTCCTTATTGAGATGAGTACATCTCTGTGTCACCCGTCACCTCATTGGTCCAAGGAGATCGTCATCCCTGACGAAATCGGGGAAAGGCCCGAAAAGAGGACTTCGTATAAAAAGGACAGGCACGATGAGTAAGGTCGTGGAAGTTATTATTTGATCGTGTGTGTGTTCCGATCCGAGATTTTCTTCGAGAGACTGTTCTTTCTTTCTTCTTCGATGGTGTTTATATGGAGATTTTAGCTCAATGTAGGCTCTTTCTCCAAATAGAATTATGTATGTGTATGATCGCTAGGCGACCGATTAGCCGGCTGTATCGAACAGCCATACGTACGCGCGGGAAATAAATGCCTTCCGGGAGGACTTTTATGGGGAACTGGCCTCCTATTCAGTCGTTATAGGCAAGGAGAAAACCCGGAAAACTCCAAGCAGCCAGCCTGTCCGACCGTGGCGCGAACCCACGACGAACCTCCCAGTCTTTAGGGTCTGGTCACCACTACGATGAGCGGCAACGGAGACCACTCGCCCACTGGTGGGGGCCTCGAGAGACTGTTCCTGTTCGTCAACCAACACCTCCTCCTCGCCTACTGAACTCGAAGATATCAACGATTCACCTACTTAACTTCGGAGAGAACTGTTCTGGAAAGGAAAAGGATTTGGGACTGTATTGCTGTTTATCGATCTGAAATATATTGGAAGATATTTATCCTGCCCGCGCACTATTGTACAGTACGCTCTCTCTCTCCGCGTGAACTAATCGCGAACTCCATTGTAACTAGAAAACGAAAATGAGGAAAAGATCAATGTGAACGCGATTCAGGTAGCTTATATTTAGCAGATATTAATTTTGTAACCTTAAAATGTATTTGTATCCATTAGACGAAAATTTACAAAAAAGAAAAAAATTGGAATGTATCGTCACCAGGGGGAAGTTTCCGAAATCTGCATTTTCCAGCACTCATTCCAGTAGATAAAAGCAGAAACACCCCATAGGAAGAATGGAAAGCAAGACGTCTGTGTAACACCAGTTCCTTTTTTAAAAAGTTTTTTTTAATTGGATGTAATTGTGTTTTTTAAAGGACTGTTTTTAAATTCTGGCGGCATGTAGCCTATAAAGAAAGGTCTGTCTCCGTGAATGTGAAGTCTGGAACACGAAAAATAAATGGTGGCCCCCTTTTTGGGCAGACTGTCTTTAATTAATAACTTAAAATGTATAACTAACTTAGATTTATTATAAATAAACGGTTATTTATGTTTAAAACCTCTGAGTGCAGTTTCTTCCGTTTTTCTCTCCGTTCACGCCATTCCGGGCCCAAAACTCACACGTAACCGCTCGCACGAACTTGTGGTTTTTGTATCGACCTAAGGATACAGTGATGTCATCCTGACGTGGTATCGAAGAGACACCGACCCAACGATAACACATACGATTAAGCAATTTACTTGCTGTTTATAGTTGCTTAAATATTGTTATGTGTGTATCCTTGTCTACTTGGACGTTGTTTATTAATAGGACTTATTTCATTGGTGTAGTTTCTGATTAGCAAATAGAAGAGATCTAACTCAGAAGTGAAAACAAAAATAACCTTATTTTCACTTGATATTTTGTTTTGTCTTATATCTTTTCATCCTTTTAAGAAGCAACATTTTATAGCACCAATTACCGTAATACACAAACTTTCCTACAAAAACTCAGAAATTTTCGACAAAAAGCACAGTAGTTATTAAGCTTTAAAGAGAGTAAACATAAATACTCATACAGAAATTATTTTGCATTTCTTGATGTTTCAAGGTCCCCTGATTTCAAACATGTAAAAAACTGTGAAGGTCATTACTATCGTTGTGTTTTCCTCTTATATATAACAGCCAGGAATGTGAAATAAAGGCGTTGCTGATATTTCTGACCAAGATGGACAAAAAAGCTCATAAGATGAAGAACCTACGTAAAAAGAAAACTCCTTTGTTTAACTAGAATTAATATTAACGCGTCATACAACACTTTTAATTGTGATTGTTAGTTAATTATTCATTGGAAATAAATTGTCGATTGCTTTAATAAACGTATTTCTCTTGGTAACGAAAAATAATTGTATATTTTTGCTAACATTTGGAATCTAACTCGATGTTTTGCAATAGTTCATAGTTTTGTTTAGCATAGATTTGCATAGTACGACACATTTTCAGAACGTGACTACCGTGTTATGTGAGAGATATCTGTATTTATAAGCACATGTCTAAGTGGATAAAACCAATGAACACTGTTAATTAATTGATCGCGGGTTCGCACCTCACAGCTGGACACACGGAGTTTTGCGGGTTTCCTTCACATTTGTAACACTTAAGTAACGGCCAATTTCCGTTAGCAAATCCTTCAGGGAGGCATCCTCCCTCGGCAGATCGCTCACGTGTCTAGTTGCCGTAAGTAATAAACCAAACCAAACCGAGATGTCTACCTATAAATCCGTCTCTACCTCGTACAATTAACAAATGATAATTTTATGAAGAAGTGTATGACAAGAAAACTCGAATAAGAATAATAATCTTAGGCCTTATAAAACGGTAATTATTCTGTATGTTTTAAGTTCAAATTTTAAAAATTAAGTAAATATTGTACTTATATTCCAATTTATGCTTCATTTAACTTTTAATCATTTAAATAATATTCCATTAAATGTGAAATACAATATTATTTAGTATCAATAAGATTTGCAGTCTTTAAATACACAAGAAGCCTCGGGTGACCTTTAAGAAAAATTTTTGTTATTAAAGTACTTTTGTTTCTAACATGCTGAAACACAGTTAAATGAAATTATGCTTACATTAATGTATTAGAAATTCTCTTCGAAGAGCAGTTAGAAAATTTAAATTTGTTAACATTATTACTTCGATCTCCCATAATATAACCGTCAGATGCAGGGCACGTTGATCTTCCTGGATTGTTAGGGTTGTCACCCTTCATGCCATCGTGTAAGCTTCCAAGTCTGAAAATAAATTACTCCTCTCAAATTCAGAATGTTTTCATAATTAACGAAACGTTTTAAACCACTTACAGATGAGCTAATTCATGAGCTACTGAATCAACTCTTTCGTAATAATTTGAATCGTCTAACGAGATGCCTACCTTACCACAATTATCACAGACAGTTCCTACGTATGAAATGCCTGAAACACAAATTCAAGTTAAATCAGACAACATAAAATATGGAATAATATCGAAGTAAATAGTAAAATGTTTACCGGAAGCGTCAAACTCAACGGTATTATCTTCTCGAAGGATACCCAATTTACGACTGAATTATAACTATTGAAGTTAGTCTCTGCCTAATTACTCTTTCTGTACATATATATAATGTAGTACTTACCTAACAATAAGCATAATTATGTCAGCATCTTTAGCCAAACCAGTAGCATTTTTACAATAATAAGCTTTCATATTATAAATTAAATTATCAGTATGTAGATATTGTTCGTGACCCGGAATTGCGCTCTGTGCGATATAAGACGGTTCTGATTCTTTCTATAATAAAAAATGAAATTCGACAAGTATATCTAATTATTGGATATAATGTGCGAAATCTTACCGTAAATGCAGTAATTCCCAGCAAACGAACTTTTATTCCTAATCCCAAAGTATCCATTAGATTTTGTACCTAAATTCAAAGTACATAATTCGTAAACAAATTATAAATTTTAATTCAGACTTAAATTTTCATGGCAATAATGACATACATTTTAATTATCATATTTAAATAAATGAAAGAAATTTACCCTACCCCCATATACATAACGATTACGTATTCCGTTAGAGCTTTTAAAGTTTTAAATCGTTTCGTAAAAGCATTTTCTGTTAAAACGAGATTGTCCACAATTATACATTTGCCTTTCCTGTCCATTCTCGTGACATTTTTCATTATTCTATTACCATCCACAGATATAACTAATAACATAGTTAAAACGTTATTCAATTTATAAAATAGACTACGAACTACAAACAATGAAGAGTTTTGATTATATACCTGCGTCATTGAAAAAAGATTTTTCGTCACTTGTAACTTCCACGATTTTGTGTGCTATTCTTTCGTCTTTAACCGCCCTTCCAGATTCATACGGTGCAATTCTCAACTTTGAATTTACAATTCCTTGCTAGAAGCACACAGAAAACTTTAAGAATATCTGTTTTATATATATAGATATATTAATAATTTTAATATTTACAATTGTAACAGGCACGTCTTCGTCGATCAAAAGAGCGGCTCCATTTGTGCTGTCTCTGTAAATTTTTCGTTTCAAATCTTCCACGTCAATCTTAAAATATTTCAAAACCTATTTTAGTATTTTCATTTTGAATTCAGTTCTAATCCGATTAATTCAGACATCTAATTAAAGAGTGTATAATTGATAAAGTAAGAAATATCTCTTCTCACCGACTGAACTATTTGATTTTTCTCATTCAGGAGTACGAAGTTTTTCGCCAATATTTCTCCAGCAGGTTGCAGTTTCAGTTCTATATCTTGATCTAAAGCTCGGAATTTGACCGTCTTCACTCCAGACCTGGACGTTTCCACGGATGGAAACACCACGTCTACTCGACCTGTATTTACGAATTTGAAAGAAAGTTTATCAAACCTTTATTTAAACTGTAATTTATTTATGATTTTCATACTATAAAAACTGACTACAAGCTTACTGTTAAATCATTAATAATAATATTCTTACCACTTGGAATGGCCGAAGCGATTGCGAAAAGGAAAATACTTGCAAGATAGATCATGGTTGTTTTAGCCATAGCAATGGTCTCCTACTATTTATAGAGATAAAAATCGAGTGTAAAATGCTAATTAGTGTAATTACTCGATTACTCATCCGACGCCTATTGATAGTTCGCACCTGTGTCAAATTTTAACATACTTATATATCATCTTAGTCATTAAAATGTTATATTTACTTAAATTTATTTTCTTTATTTATGAAACTAATTCAGAACGTCATAAAATAATTTCCATTCGCGCCTTATATGCCTTTTATAACGAAATTGTACAAGATGTAAATGTAATAGTATGTTGTGCTCAATGTGACAGAAGAACTTTATACAAAGCCTGAAGAAGTCTTTAAGTGTACAGTACAGTACCGATCGTATTAAAGAAAATCAAAATCTTTCAGAATAAAATTCTAAATAATGGTATTAGAAATTCTCTTCGAAGAGCAGTTAGAAAATTTAAATTTGTTAACATTATTACTTCGATCTCCCATAATATAACCGTCAGATGCAGGGCACGTTGATCTTCCTGGATTGTTAGGGTTGTCACCCTTCATGCCATCGTGTAAGCTTCCAAGTCTGAAAATAAATTACTCCTCTCAAATTCAGAATGTTTTCATAATTAACGAAACGTTTTAAACCACTTACAGATGAGCTAATTCATGAGCTACTGAATCAACTCTTTCGTAATAATTTGAATCGTCTAACGAGATGCCTACCTTACCACAATTATCACAGACAGTTCCTACGTATGAAATGCCTGAAACACAAATTCAAGTTAAATCAGACAACATAAAATATGGAATAATATCGAAGTAAATAGTAAAATGTTTACCGGAAGCGTCAAACTCAACGGTATTATCTTCTCGAAGGATACCCAATTTACGACTGAATTATAACTATTGAAGTTAGTCTCTGCCTAATTACTCTTTCTGTACATATATATAATGTAGTACTTACCTAACAATAAGCATAATTATGTCAGCATCTTTAGCCAAACCAGTAGCATTTTTACAATAATAAGCTTTCATATTATAAATTAAATTATCAGTATGTAGATATTGTTCGTGACCCGGAATTGCGCTCTGTGCGATATAAGACGGTTCTGATTCTTTCTATAATAAAAAATGAAATTCGACAAGTATATCTAATTATTGGATATAATGTGCGAAATCTTACCGTAAATGCAGTAATTCCCAGCAAACGAACTTTTATTCCTAANGCTTTCGATAACTGATAACTGAAGATTATCTTTAATAAATTGTTTATAAAAGAATAAAATATAAATATTTATTAAAATCTCACACAATTTTATCGTTATATAAATATTTTTCTAACAAATATATTATTATTTTCATAAGTAATAAAATTAGTTTATAGATTCGAAATTTGAAAGACGTTAAAATCTTTTATGACAATTTAATTACAGAATTTCGAGTTTTAATTTCTCAATTTTATTATATTTTAAAGCTTTGAATTTGTAAAATATTAAACGACTTTATTAATAAATAGGAAAATTAAGTCAATTAAAACTATAAACCATTTTATAAATTTTATTGCGTCCACTTTTCGTAATAAATAATCAAGAAATGAATAATTTGGAATTTTATCGTTTCTAGTTTTAATTTTTATTGCCCGAAAAAGTGAAAACGGAGACGAAAATATTTTGAATAAATTGATATTTAAAGCATTGATTGCGATGGAAATTATTTTATGGAGATTTCATACAACCGGATACATTTCGGATAAATTATAATAATAAGGGTTATAACTATTATTATTGATATAAATAAAGTAAATAAATTTCTTCTTTTAAATATCAATATGAATAAACATTTTAATATTATTTAGAATTTTATTGTGAAAGTTTTGATTTTCTTTAATACGATTGGTACTGAACTGTACAGTACACTTGGAAACTTCATCAGGCTTGGTGTAAAGTAAATCCGTCACTATGAGAACAACACATGACATTTACATCTTGTACAATTTCTTTATATAAGGCTCGAATAGAAATGCATTTCATGAGGTTGTGAATTAGTTTCATAAATTAAGAAAGTAAATTTAAATAGATATAACATTTTAATGACTGAGATAATTATTAAGTATGTCAAAATTTGACACAGGTGCGAGCTATCAATAGGCATCAGATGAGTAATCGAGTAATTAAAGTAATCAACATTTTTCAGTTAATTTTCATCACTATAAATAGTAGGAGACCATTGCTATGGCTATAAACAACCATGATCTTTCTTGCAGGTATTTTCCTCTTTGCAGTCGCTTCGGCCATTCCAAGTGGTAAGACTATTATTATTAATAATTTAACAGTAAGCTTGTAGTCAGTTTTTATAGTATGAAAATCAAAAATAAATTACAGTTTAAATAAAATTTCGTTTCCTTAAATTTCTGATATACAGGTCGTGTAGACGTGGTGTTTCCATCCGTGGAAACGTCCAGGTCTGGAGTGAAGACGGTCAAATTCCGAGCTCTAAACGAAGATATAGAACTGAAATTAGAACCTGCTGGTGAAATATTGGCCAAAAACTTCGCACTTGTTGATCAACAACCAAACTCAGTAAGCCATTTACAACAGTTATGGATAGCGTTACTCAGATTTTCTTTAAGGTTGTACAAAGTATTAGAATTAGAATGATTTTTTTCGGATAAAATAGTAACTTTATATCAAATATTTAAATGCTTTAAGATCGACGTAGAAGACTTGAAAAGAAGAATTTACAGAGACAGCACTAATGGAGCCGCTCTTTTGATCGACGAAGACGGACCTGTCACAATTGTAATTATTATAATAATCGATATTTTATATCCTATAATATTACATAGATTCTTAAACTTCTTTGTATACTTTTAGCAAGGAATTGTAAATTCAAAATTTAGAATCGAACCGTATGAGTCGGGTAGAACCGTTAAAGATGGGCAAGTACCACATAAGATTGTGGAAGTTATAAATGATGAAAAATCCTTTGTGAATGATGCAGGTGAATATATTTAACACTTTTAACATTATTAATCGTTGGCAGCTAATATTTTTGAAATTCGATAATGTTTTCAACTTGTTTTCAGTCATGCATATGGATGTTAACGAAAAAATGGAAAAGGTTGCGCCAATGGCCAGAGACGATCAGTGCATAGTTGTGGAATGTCTGGTTGTTACAGAAAATGCTTTTACGAAACGATTCGAAACTACAAAAGCTCTAACGGAATACGTAACTGTCATGTATACTGGGGTAAGATATAAATTCCTAAAAGTTTTTAAAGTAAATAAAATAGTTCATAAAAGCTTAATTTTGAATTAAAATTTATAACTTTTTACGATTTTTTTAAATTTAGGTTCAAAACCTAATTGATCAATTACAATTGGGAATAAAAGTTCGTTTGCTTGGAATTGATCCATTTACGGTAATCCACTAATTATATTTATTTACTGGGCTGCAATTTAAAAACTGTAGAGCTATAAATTTTTACTGCTGACCGTTTCGCTGTCTGTCTCTGCTTCGTGAATCTCGAGAATGGTGTAAGATAAACGAAAAGCGAGACTGAATACGGAAAGTTTAGGGGTAGGAGGCTCCGATTTAGTATACGAACGTCCGGTGAAGGCCGGAAGTTGATTTTAATTAATACATTTATTTGGAGTTACAAAGATGACCGGCATGACACCTGTTGTTGCCAGGAAGATTATGATGTACAGAGGCAAGACACTGATAATTTCAGACAGAAAGCGCTTATATTAAATTAAATAAATAAAAAATATGAATATAAATTGCAGCCCGGCATTTTGACGATGTCATAATAAATAATCGCTCGTTTAACTTCATTTTCATCTATAGAAAGAAACAGAACCACCTTATATAGAAGAGAGTAAAATTTTGTTTTTCCCAGAATATCTTAATCCTGAAGATTTAATTGAGCATATCGGAAAATATTACTGTAATCATTCTACTGGTTTAGCTAAAGATGCTGATATAATCATGCTCCTTGTTGCGTAAGTATTCTATTATATCGCTTTGTACAGATTTGAAGTGGACTAATTTTAATATATATTATTTAGTAACAAAATGGGCGAGTTACAAGATGATGCTTCAGTTTTACTTTATGCTGACGGTAAGCCTTTTCCCATTTACTTCTTTTTCTTTCTATTGATATGTACAGTACAGTATACGTTCAAATACATTTCTTTCGCAGGCATTGCATACATAGGCACTGTTTGTAACGAATGTTACAAAGTTGGCGTCGCTAGAGACGATTCAGAGTACAACGAAAGAGTTGAAACGGTAGCTCATGAAATAGCTCATCTGTAAGTAATTTAAAACATTACATCAAATGCTGAAATAATATGAATTTGAGAAGAAATTATTGAAAAATATTTCAGACTTGGGAGTCTTCACGACGGCGAAAGTCCGGATGTGGGATGGCCTGTTGGAACTCCAGGAGCATTAGATTGCCCAGAAACTGACGGTTATATAATGGGAGATCGAAGAAATAGTTTTAACATGTATAAATTTTCCGAATGCACGAAGAATTGCATTAAATATGCATTATCGTAAGAATGATTTTAATTACCTAAATTGGAGTAGTTTAGAAATAAATACTGTAATAACATAATTTCTTCTTAAAGGTTACCACAAGCTAAGTGCGTATACGAAAGCTGTGAATTTCAGTAATTGGTATTTAATGATATATTCGACGTTCAACAAAATATTGCTTTAAATGACAAAGAAAATAGTGTATTTTAAATAATACATTAAATTATTTTTTAATTTAAAAATAATTTCAAAACAAATAAAGGGTTTCAAATGCAGTCATATTTGTCGTCTGGCTTCTTTTTTTTCAATAAAATTGTTAAATAGTTAACTGGCTTTTTCTAGTGAAGAGAATGCACTATTTGGCCCTTTTGGTCCTCAGTTGTGAGGTTTGTATGTTTTTAAAGCCTTCTTAACGCCGAATATGATTATACTCGGAAAATATCTGAAAAAAGTGGGTTACACCTGCTACTAAATATTTTGATGGGTTTGAGGATGACGAATCATCCTCAAATCCGTTTACGAATTATCACAAATATTTCTCACGTTGAAAGCACTCAAACAAAAATGAAAATGAAGCACATAAACACAAATTCCAATGACCGGAAAGAAAAAAACAAACAATTTTCAACGACTAGAAAAACGAGCGACGACTGACTAAAATGTGTTGTTCTTCGTCTTATTTAAAGATACAAATTTTTCAGAAATCTTTGAAGTCGAGAGAAATATATTTAAATGTGTCACTATCAGCGATGAGAAAGCGTAAGTTGAAAATCTAAATCAGAATGTTGATATATAGACTATTAACTTTTCATGAGATCATCATCAGGTTGTTTTCCTTTATCTTATTCGATTCTCACAATTACATTAAAAAACACAAATTCCTAATATTAAGAATAACTTTTAAAATAGAAATCGTGAAAACTCACGCAATATTAGTACGAAAATTGTAACCTGAAAACTTCAAATTGTTAATGAACTTGAAAGTAATATAGTTTGTTTGGAATGTTCCCAGAATGACTTTAAGGGGTTAGCTAATTGTGCTATTTGTTGGGCAATGTATAAATTTTTCAGTAAGCAATTTTTGTTTATTTATTTAGTTCTGGTGAGTAGTGCAAATTTTTTTATCTTTGTGTGAAAAATAAAGCTTTAAGCTGCAGTCATGCTGTACTTCAAATGCAAAACTATCAGAACTCTCTGAATTGATGAAAAGAACTCACAGAGATGAATGGTTATCAAAGCCAATCTGTATTAATAATACAAATCTTGCTGTAATGGTTAACATTTGTTGGAGGATGTCCATCCATAAGCAACACCAATGAAAATTTGTGTCAAGAATACTGTAAGCAGTCTCTGGAATCTTTTCTACAACAGCTTATAGATTGTTTGCTCAAAATAACCCAACACATTCAACCAAATTTTCATCAAAGCGGAGAATGATTTCTCTTCCTCAACACATTGGTGAACATTTCAAGTGTCTATAAATCAGGTTACAAACATGAAATGTTTGTAACCTGATTTATAGACACCTGATTTATCTATTGTTTGTCTATAAATCAGGTTACAAACATGAAATGTTTGTAACCTGATTTATAGACAAACAATAGATGACAACAATCTTTTATCCTACATATTTTCTGGACCTATCCAGGGAGATATTTTCCAAAGCTCAAAGTTCTCACAAGGAGGACATGTATGAGTA